GACAGGGTCTTGCTCTTGCTCAGGCAGATCTCAAACTACTGAGCTCAAACAATTCACCTGCCTCAGCCTCCCAGAGTGTGGGATTACAGGTATAAACCACTGTGCTGGGCTTTTTTTTTTTTTTTTCAGTCAAAGTCTCACTCTGTTGCCCCAAGCTAGACTGCCATGTTATCAGCCTAGCTCACAGCAACCTCAAATGCATGGATTCAAGCGATCCTCCTGCTTCCGTCTCCTGAGTAGCAGAGACTACAAGTACGTTGTATAATGGTCACCTAGTTTGTCTAGTTTTTAGTAGAGATGGGGTAAGTGGATGAATGGATGGATATACGGGTGAGTGGATGGGTGGATGGATGGATGGGTGGATGGATGGATATATGGGTGAGTGGATGGGTGGATGGATGGATGGGTGGATGGATGGATATATGGGTGAGTGGATAGGTGGATGGATGGATGGGTGGATGGATGGATATATGGGTGAGTGGATGAGTGGATGGATGGATGGGTGGATGGATGGATATACGGGTGAGTGGATGGATGGATGGGTGGATACACGGGTGAGTGGATGAGTGGATGGATGGATGGGTGGATGGATGGATATACGGGTGAGTGGATGGATGGATGGGTGGATATACGGGTGAGTGGATGAGTGGATGGATGGATGGGTGGATGGATGGATATATGGGTGAGTGGATGAGTGGATGGATGGATATACAGGTGAGTGGATGGGTAGATGGCTGGATATATGGGTGAGTGGATGAGTGGATGGATGGATGGATGGATGGATATACGGGTGAGTGGATGGGTAGATGGCTGGATATATGGGTGAGTGGATGAGTGGATGGATGGATGGATTGGTGGGTGAATGGGTAGATAGATAGATGGATGGGAGGGGAGGTGGGTGAATGGGTAGATGGATGGATGGGAGGATGGATGAGGGGATGAATGGACGTATGAGGTTACTGTAGGGAGGCTGCATGGATTGGGAGGCACCAGGCTGGTGCCCCTCCCATGTTTACCAGAGTGTGACTTGGGCACGTTATAGGCACGTGTGCCTCGGCTGCTTTCTTAGTGTAGGGCAGAGATGCTCACTGCCTGTGGGCCATGACGGCAGCCCTTGAGTTTCCAGTGACTCCTTCAATGTTCCTGCAGGTAAGGAGTGGATCCTGCTATCCTCTTCAAGCTTTCCTGGCCCAGATTTCCAGAACCCAGTCTTCATGCCAGGCTCCTCCCAGGTGGAGGCCCTTGGGAGGAAAGGCCCAGAGCCACAGAGCTACCTACCCCAAGGCCTGGAGGGGCAGAGGATGAGGGGTTGCTGGGGTGGGCAGGAGATCTTTGGGTCCATGTACCATTCTGAGGCATGATGGGTGGAGGCCACAGGGTTGGGGACCCAGGAAGAGGATCTGTGGCCTCCTAGCACTGTGCATGTGGATGGTGAGGGGCTGAGGGGCAGCAAGAGGGGGACCCGAATGGCTTGGCAGGGGCTGGGTGGGGACTGCCTCTTATTAAGGCCATGGCCACATGGGGAGCCAGCCTGGGGTGAGGGAGGGAGGGAGGAGGCAGCCAGACATGCTGAGCTGCAGGGGCTATTTGGTGAGCATCAGAGCCGGACTCCCGGGTGATGATGGCTCCCATGTACATGGAGTCCTGGGTCCCCACACATATAAGGACTTGTCCCAGCAGGCCGATTGGTGCAGCCCTGGGTCCCCACACATATAAGGACTTGCCCCAGCGGGCCGATTGGTGCAGCCAAGGGTAGACTAACCACACAGCGAGGAGGAAGGTCATGGGGTGGGAGAGATCAGCCAGAGGCTGGGGAAACAAGGTCAGTCTGGGGCTGGGAATCAGTGCCAGGCCCTAGGGCCTAGGTGAGGTTCTCAGCTGGGTTGGACACCAATACCCCTGCTGCCCAGCAACCCTGCATGAGCCTGGATGTCTCAGTGGGACCAGCACAGGCAGTGGGAGCCAGAGGAGACATTCTTCTCTCCATGCTGGGTTCTCATATGGCAGTTATGGCCACTGCTTTCTTGTTTTAGGTGAAACAAAGGACCTGGGCAGAATGATAAGAACTACAAACAGAGGGACATGGCCAGAGCGGAAGGGAGGAGAGCGCACGTGGCCCAGTGTAAATCGATCCTGAACACAGTGCAAACAATGACTCTGAGCCTGTAACTGCAGAGAGTCACCCCCTCACTCAGTGGGGGCAGGACTGGGTCTTCAGGATCTGACCCTGGGAGGTCACGGTTGCCCTAGTCCCCAGTACTGGCCCAGAGCCCAAAGCTGGGGTGCTCGAGCTTCTTTCGGGGCCCTGACACTGCTCATGGCTGCTTGTGCCAGCCCGCTGGAACCACATGCCTCTTATGGCACTGGATGTTTTTGCATGTCGGAGCAGGGCAGGAACAGGGGAAGGGACCAAAAGGATCACAGGCTGACCAAACTGCCTCAACAGGAGTGAGGGGTACTGTATGAAACTGCAGGCTTGGTCCCCACATCCTCCCTGCCCATTGTCCTACCTGCAGAGTTTCTGCCAATCCCTGCAGGTCACCCTCCCACAGAACAGCCATGAAGACCTACTATGTGCCAAGTGCACTTCCAGGTGGGTGGGCTTTGCCAGTGTGACCAGGGACAGGGCAGGACCTCAGCATGTGCTCTGAATGGGGCCCTGTAGGGTTCTGGAAGTAATGTGCCCTGGCCCTTTGGCCACAGTGAGAGGAGAGGGCAGGGGCCAGTGAGGAGCAGACTGAGCATCTAGAAGGTCAGAAGGACAAGGCTGGGGGGCGGGTGCTCGGTGCGTCTAGTCTGCAGCCATCTAAGCCCTGCGAGCCAGGAGGGGGAGTGTGGCGCTGGGGTGCTGGAGCACCTTGGATCTCTGCTGGGGTTAGGCTCACAGGGAATCTCAGCACCCACATCTTTATTTACATCTATTTACCTGCATTCACGGCAGCTCTCTGAGGTGATTTTAAGAGAATTGTTTCCTGGGAAAGGCTGTAAATCAGCCCCCTCAGCCCCTGCCCCATTCCTCCAGCACAGAGGTGCAGCCATGGCTTTCCATGGCTTCACTCTCAGGGACAAAAGCACAGGAAGCCCCTTTTCCAAGCACCACAGTCTAACCCCTCAGGCCAGTCGGTGCCGGCTTCCGCCAGGGCCTTGGATTATTGCATCACCATTTTCTTCTTCTTCTTCTTCTTCTTTTTTCTTTTTTGAGACAGGGTCTCACTCTGTCACCTTGTCTAGAGTGCCATGCATCATAGCTCACAACCTCAAACTCCCAGGCTCAAGTGATCCTTCTGCCACAGCCTCCTAAGTAGCTGGGACTAGAGGCACCTGCCACAACACCTGGCTAGTTTTTCTATTTTTAGTAGAGACGGGGTCTGGTTCTTGCTCAGGCTGGTCTCAAACTCTTGAACTCAAGCGAACCACCCACCTCAACCTCCAAAGAGAGCTGGGATTACAGGTGTAAGCCACTACACCCAGCCTTGTTACAGATATTAACTAATATCTTTGATACCTGAGGCACTCGTGCAAAGTGAGTGATAATAAAATAAAAAGCAAAGCCCAAGAATAAATGGGTCAAGAATATAAACTAAATTCACATGCACCCATATGTGCACACTTGCACACACGTGTAGGGAATGGGCCCATCCGAGGGGCCCTGCAGCTGAGCGAGCCAGCCCTGCATAGACTGGTGCTTGGCCCAGTGTCTTCTGAGACGCCCATGAATGTTGGGCCCTAAAGACCTCAGAAAGTTCAGGAAGGTGTCCCTGCAAGGCCAGGGGGTGGGGGGCTACCTGGCCACTTCTCTGGGGAGGTTTAAGCAAGGGTACATTCAGTTAGAGGGAGCGACCTTGGCAGGGTCTCATTGGCTCCCTCTGTGAAATGGGAACATAATGTGCTTGGAGCGTTTCTGGAGGAGGGAACGAACACTGGAGCTGCGCTAACTCATGTTCCATAGATACTGGGGCAGATGAATTTCATCCACACCAGGCCCTTGCCCAAAATTCACACTGAAGATCTAACCCCGAAGGGATTGTGTTTGGCGATAAGGCCTTAAAGGAGGCAATTAAGGTTAAAGGAGGCCGTAAGGGTGAGGTCCTCCCCCATAAGAAAAGGAAGAGACACCAAAGAAGTCTCTCTCCCCTCACGCACACACAGAGGACAGACCATGGAGGAGGCCACTGTCTACAGGCCAGGAGCAGAGGCCTCGCCAGAAACCCACCCTGATGGCACTGGCATCTTAGACTCTCAGCATCCAGAACTCTGAGATACTAACTCTTGTTGCTAAAGCTGCCCGGCCTGTGCCTGCCCCTGGACACTGACCCACACACTCGCATTTCCAGCAAGGATACCCACTTTGCTGCTATGCTACAAGCAATACCCTAGTCCATGATGTTTGCACTTCAGGCCCCAAATACACAGTAAAGACAGATCCATCTGTAATTCTTTCTTTTTTTTTGAGACAGAGCCTCAAGCTGTTTCCCTGGGTAGAGTGCTGTGGCATCACAGCTCACAGCAACCTCTAACTCCTAGGCTCAAGTGAGTCTCCTGCCTCTGCCTCCCAAGTAGCTGGGACCACAGGTGCTGACACAATGCCCAGCTATTTTTTTTTTTTTTTATTGAATGGTAACTATGTACATTAATGCACTTCTGGGGTACAGTGTGGGGTTTTCACATGCAATCCGAACTACTTCCATCAAACTGGTCAACACAGCCTTCATGTCATTTTCTCAGTTATTGTTTTAAAACGTTCACATTCTACTCTTAGAAAGATTCACTTGTACCTCTACCCAGCTATTTTTTGGTTGCAGCTGTCATTGTTGTTTGGCGGGCCCCGGGCTGGATTCGAACCCGCCACCTTAGTTGTATGTGCCTGGCGCCTTAGCCACTTGAGCTCCAGGTGCCAAACCCCATCTGTAATTCTATAATTCAGATGTACAGTCTGATGTCATACCCTGATTTATGATGATTTATTATAAAAGCTTTTGTAAACAAGTGTAGGCAATGCAATCTGTGCAACTGTTTATTATATTTAGAAGTCTACAAATTTGAGCTTTTAAGAAAGATTTACAAAATATTCATTTGAAACCACATTTTTGGCTCATCAGATTTTAAATATATTTTACTGTGCTGAACAATATATTCTATTGCTGTCTAAAACACAGCCAAATTATATTTCTTTATTCATTTATACACATTCTGTAATTTTTGCTAACCAAGATTAAGATAAAAAATATTAACAAAACTACCCGATTACAATTACGATTTTCCCATATGATGAACTATTTTCTGTAGCTTTATTTCTTACCTTATTCAATTTTAATTCTGTGCACTACATCGATTTATAAACACACTTAGGGAATTCTCATCTTACATTTCTCATAAATTCAAACAGCAACACCTTGTCAAAAGATAAAATTAACTCCCTTGGGAAAGTGGAAGCTTAGCTTTGTTAAAAGCACTCACCGAAAAATATTTTTAAATTTATAGATCATACAAAATAAACAATTTACAAAGGGACAAATGACTTTAAACATTATTTTGAATGTGTAGAAACAGAAGTGAAGCAATCTGTCAAGTTGGACACCAGTCACTGCCGGTCTCTTGTCTCTCTTTACTTCCTTTCTAATGAAATGTGTATGTGGTGAATGCTGTTTCCACAGGGCCCTCGAGCATCAGACGATGATCTGGTGGCCCACGAGTCAGGAGCAGACTGCTCCTCCCGCAAGTGACGTCTCCGGTCCACGGAGCAGGGAGGAGCCAGTGTCTCCAGGCCCAGCCAGTGGAACGGAAGATCCCGAAGATCCCGGGAGCATAAACCAAAGACGTGCACAGATATGCCCGAGGGAGGGCATGCAAGGGGTAACACAAAATAGAAATTATGGTAAAGCTTCTACTACATCAAAAATAAAAATTTCTCAAAAGAAATATTAAAAATCAGAAATGTATATATACCACGTGAAAAAAGCAGCACAACAATCTGCAAAACTGTCTGGTCTTTGTTGCACCGGTGACGGGGTCGCCACTTCATGTGAAGAGGAATCCTCCAGGAAGCAGGCATCCTCGCATCAGCATTAAGAACCATAGCGATCCTGAGGAGAGACCCCAAATGAAAGTTTATGGACACATCGATCCCTAATTCCCACATTGTGAATGTTTGGCCTTACCAAAACCGACACCAAACTGGCACAGGACACCAAGCATCTGGCATGGAACGCGGCACCCCAGGGATGCAAACGGCTGGTGCAGGAGCCGCCACCGTCTCCCAAAGTCAAAGACGGTGTCCGGGCTTCCTGCTCCTGCACCCATGGCCATGGCCCTGGGACTGTGCGGCAGGGAGCAGAGCAGCGGGGGGTGCAGAGGGTGCTGAGTAGGCCCAGGGCCATGTGCTGAGCCCACTGGGTAGCAAGTGTGATGGGGAAGACAGAGGAACACATTTGGAGTTAGAAACTGAAATTGTGGCTCAGCTGGTGATCTTGCAGAAATGACTTAACCTCTCTGTGCCTCCATTTCTTCACTTGTAAACTGGGGACATAAAAAGGGCATAATCTATAAAATGCAGCTGATCAATCATTAATACAGTGAGGATATTGCCCCTAGGAAGGTGATGCTGTCTCAGCTGCCCTAAGGGACAAGAAGGAACAGATAGTGTCTGGGCTGAGGGGCGAGGGCCCTTCTCAGTGGGAAGCACTTCCACACGCACCAACCCACAGCGGGAGCAGCATCCGTGGGGCAAAGAAGCCTCCCCTCCCTCTAGCCACAGTTTATCTCAACAATAGCGGCCTTACTTGACTCAATGTAGAAGGCCCTTTTTCATCTCACAGCACACTTGAACCTGTAGTTAAACTTCTGCAGCATGCTTAAATTACATTGATCGAAAAAACAAAAAAACAAAAAAGAATATACTTACTGTGCTTTGATTTCTTTTGAAAATAATTTAATTAATGATTTTTTTTTTTTTT